GAAGTTTGTCCATGTTGTAGCATGTGTCAGATTTTCCTTTCTCTTTAAGGCCAGGTAATATCCCACTGTGTGCATATGAAAGTAATTTTCTACTTGGAGTCAAGGAGGGCAGGACATCATTTCTCATCGGCGCGCGATGCTAGGTATGCCTGCCCTCTATTTGGATGTCATTGTCATTAAGTTCCTTCTGGGCTTCATAGAAACTCTTTTGTTAGGTTCAAGCAGTACCCAGACTTCAGAAACCAAGACCACCATGCAGCCAAAATCTCCTTTAAGTTTTGTGCTTAAGGACAAATGGCTGATCATAAAGCTTGTATTCCTATTCCTTCATACTAAATTAAATTGGGGAAAAAACGTTTAGTTTCTACTATTCAGAAACTGCAAAATAGGAAAAGATTGATAAAAAAAATCATTTTCCTTTCTTCATTGTACATAGTTCAAATCTTTCTTTGTTACATTTAAACTATATCCATGTACATCAGTCTGTTGGATTCCTGCTAGTGTTACAGATGGAAATAAAACCATTAATTTGAACCAGAAAAAAAAAAAAAACCACATTTCATTTGTCCATGCGACCATCAATGGGCGCTAGGGCTGCTTCCGCCTTTTCACTGTTGTGGATAGTGCTGCTAATCTCTCTCTTGGGTCTCTTTCAATTCTTTCAGGTGCGTAGTCACAAGTGGGATTCCTGGATCACATGGTAATTCTGTTTCAGTTTTTGAGGAACCCTCTACTGTTTTCCACAGCAGCCACACCATTTTACTTTCCCACAGCAGTGCACAGGTTTCCAATTTCTCCACGTCCTCGCCAAGGCCTACTGTTGTTCTGTGGTTTTACATTTCTAAACATTTTTTAAAGATTTATTTATTTACTTGAAAGAGAGAGCAGGGGGAGGGGCAGAAGGAGGGAGAGAGAATCTGAAGCAGACTCTGCTCTGAGTGCGGAGCCGGACGTGGAGCTTGATTCCACCACCACGAGATCATGACCTGAGCCAAAACCAAGAATGGGCTGCTCAACTGACTGCACCACCCTGGTGCCCCAATTTTCTGTGGCTTTAAAAAAATAATAGCCATCCTAATGGATATAAAATGATATCTCTTTATAGTATTGATTTACAGTTCCCCAATTGTTAGTGAGGCTGCCCATGTTTCCATGAGCCTATTGGCCACTTGTATATCTTCTCTGGAGAAATGTCTATCGAATCCTTTGCCCATTTTTAAATTAAATTGTTCTCCTGTTGTGTTGTAGGAGTTCTTTATGTAACTTGCATATTAGTCCCTTCTAAGTCTTTTTAAATGTCTCCTAGGAAAGGCTGCCAACCCCCTAAGGCAGGGACTCTCAACACTCATGGAATATCGGAATCACCAAGGAGCTGAAGAAATAGTGATACCCAGGACCTGGGTGGTTCTGAATTAACCGGTCTGCAGTGAGGTGTGAGGCATCAGAAGACCTTTAAAAAGTCTTCTCTGAGTGATTCTCAGACGTATCCAGACTTGAAACCATTGTTACAAAGTCTTTGCCCCTTGGGAGGCACCGCCCTCCCCTGCTCACTGCTGAGAAAGTGAGAGGGGATCGATTAGGAAGAGGAATGACCAGGTCCCCCAGCGCCCAAGCCCAGTGAGGGTGGCAGTGTGGCTGCAAGGTAATAGGAAAGGCAGGCCCCCTGCTTGGTCACACAGCACTGTCATCAGTCCCGTTGCAGATGTATCAGAAGGAAACAACCAACCACTATCTCCTGAGAGGCACCGGACGGAAAGACAAGAGAGGAGCCCGAGAGCTGCCCGGAAGCTCCATGGGCAGAGTGCGTGGTGGAGAGCTCTGGGCAGGGAGGTGGGAGCCTTGGTTCTCCTCCAGCTTTGCCATCCACTTTCCCTATGGCTTGTGAGAAGTCCCCTTGCTTTCCTGTGCCCAAAAGTGCTCCTAGAAGAAAGAAAACTAGGTAGTGCACTAGTCCTCGGTCCTGGCTATACGTTGGAGTCACCTAAGGAGCATTTAAAAAACACTGACCCTCAGGTCCCCTGCCAGAAATTCTGAATCTGGTTGTTTTAGGTGGGGACTGGACGTTGTCGTTTGGTAAAGCTTCCAGTTGATTCTATGCAGCTAGGGCTGAGAACCCTGGTCCGGTGGTCCTCCCAAGGACCCCCTTAGTGTGAACATTCCAAGGTTCTTCTGCTTCCATCTCTGGGGGCAACAGTCATGGCCTGAGCACTCGTGTGGCACTTAGCATGTACTACGATACCGCCCAGCTTTTCATAGCCCACAGGAGCACTGATCTGATGGTCTCTGCAAAGGCTAAGAGGACCAGTTTCCTTCTCAGAACTGAAAAAGTAACAGATTCTGACCTCTAGTGACACGAGATGAGCCCAACATGTCCTATTCCACAACCCCCAGAGGACTATTTTATTCTCCATGCAGCTGTGCGGAGCTTGTAAGGGGAGCAGCTGCTGGAGACAAATCAGCTGAGGGGAGAGGCCAGGTGGCCAGCAGGCAGCCCGCTGGAATGGGAGAAGGAGCCACTGACTTTCTGCTGAGAGCTCAAGGCTCCTGGCAGGCCCCGGAGGTGGCTTTCCAGGGCATGTGCTGAGTGTACGTACTTGCAGCTGAGGCTGCATCTGGGCCATAAGGGCTTCTCCATGGAGTCCTGACTGCCAGGCTTCGGACGCCTGCATATTCTGAGCCCACATGGCAAAAGGGCAGTGTGAGCTCACGGGCCGCCCTCTCAATGCCAGGCTCACCGGCCTATGCTTGGAGAGAGAGACCAGCCTGCAAACAGAGCCCAGGAAATGGGTGGTAGGCCCTTGTAGGGTACTGCCGGCTGGTGGAGAGAGCTGGAAAGTTCCAAGCCTGCCTCCCTCCCTACTTTCTCTCTTCCATCCTTCCTCCCTGGTATCTTGTTTAACTCTCCACCAATCTGTCTCCCTGTAGAGCTCTTGCCCTGAAGGCCTCTGGGTCACACACCCCCTCTGATTGCTCTCTGCTTCTCCACTGTGGCTTTGCTGCTGTCACGCAGCTGGGTGGGGGCGAGGAGGGGATGCAGGGGAGGCCGGGCCTACGTCAGGAAGTCTCAGCTCGGGGACTCCTGGGTGGCTCAGTGGTGTAGTGCCGCCTTCAGCTTTAGGGCCTGATCCTGAAATCCCAGGATCGAGTCCCATGTCGGGCTCCCTGCAGGGAGCCTGCTTCTTCCTCTGCCTGTGTCTCTGCCTCTCTCTCTCTCTGTATCTCTCATGAATAAATAAATAAAAAATAAAATAAAATAAAATAAAATAAAAGGAAGTCTCAGCTCTTCTCTGGAAGTAGAGTCCTTCCTGATAGAACCACCTGCACCTGCAGACCTTCCCTGGCACATGAGGTGCTGTCCTTGGTCTTGTCTCCAAAGACGGGGTCTCTAGACTGGATGTGGAAGTCTGCAGCTATTTTGCTGAATAACCGATGACAAATGATGTCACAACTACAACTTATCATGACAACTACCGCGTATTGCGTGCGTGCCAGGCACTGCTTGAACTTTACATCATCCACCCTCACAATTCTGGCCCCCTTGTGCCCCCGTTTTCCCTCGGTTGGACTTCAAAGAGAACCACATTCCTGGGGTCAGGGATCTTGTCTTCCCTAGTACCATGAGTTTCTCCAGTGGCTACTTCAAAGGACTGAGGTGCTGTATCCACAATTCAAACTCCACATGATTTCCTGACACCATCCCTCCTCAGTCTTCAGAGAAAAGGGGGGAGGGGCAGGTGATGGCCAAATTGGGGGAAGCAGACACAGGGGTGTGTATCTGTGTGTGTGTGGACGAAGAGAACCAGGTTTTAGTTAAAATCCAACTCCTTGAAGGAGTCGGGCAGCCCTAATAAGGCAACCTGTACCGCCATCTGGTGGACGAGAGGAAGGCCGGCTTTAGAGGTAGACCAGATGGAATTTGAGAGTCGGGACCATTTTGGGCATTTCATCAGCCCCCAGTACCCATCAGGAGGTCTGTAGCGGGTCTCCGTGGTGACCCTGGTGTCCCTGCCTCCCAACACGTCCCTACCCTCTTCCCATTTCATAAATACCCAGCACGGGTCTGTGCAGACGGCACCTGTAGATCCTGTGACCAGTCAAGAAAATCAGCTCAGAACCAGGAGAACTTGGTCTCGCCCTCTGGGCCTCCGTTTACTCAATGTACAATGACTGGCTTCAGAGGCCCTGCCAGCCTTGTCTTTCGAGGTTAGTGGTTGTCATACTGGAGTGAGCACCAAAGTCCTTCGGAGAGCTTGTCAACACAGACCGCTGGTCCCCGCCCCAGTGTTTCTGACCCCGGAGGTCTGGAGTGGTGCCTGAGAACGTGCATTTCTAAAAGTTCCCGAGGGATGCTGATGCTGCCAATCCACAGGCGCCCCCCCTTGCCCCGCCCCGCCTTGGAGAACAGAACCACGGTTCTGAATAGTTCGGCCTCCTTGGTGCAAGGGAAAAAGTGAATAAACGAGCAGAGAATTCACATAAAATAAATAACACAGAGCTTATACACATCAGAAGCCAGGGCTCAAATAACTTATCCATTCGAGCCCCAGGAATAAGTGTCTGGAACCCTGGCAGGGCCGAGGGGAGGGCCAGGCCCGACTCAGCGGCGCCGTGTGCTGGTCCGGGGTTTGCCTGGAGCCCCTGCGTGATCATGGGCACTGGGGCGGGGGTCGGGGGGCCCAGAGTGGCTCTGGAGCAGGGGTGTGGGCGGTGCAGAAGGGGGAAGGCTGGGCGCCAGCCCGGGGGACACTTCCCCGGTGCAGCGGGAGAGCTGGACGAGGACTCGGGGCCACCCAATCCAGCTTGCACTTGAACAGGAAACGAACTCACAAAAGTGACCCGAGACCTTCCCATAGTCACAGGTAGCTGTTTCTCCGAGTTCCCAACCCGCTCCCTTCACAAGCAGGTGTCAGAGGTCAAACCGGCTCATGAGACACGTTAGTTCCAGGACATTCTGGGGCCAGCGGCCTTGGGCCCGAGCCCGCCCCCTCGCATCCCCCTACCTTTGACCAAAGGGAAGAAGCAGTCCATCTCCACGCTGCTTCGGGAGTGGGAGATGCACAGGGCGCTGCTGGGCACCAGGCCCTCCTGGGGGGGGCTCCGCTCCGTGGTGCGCACCAGACACCAGCCGGGCCGCTCGCTGGGCCGCTCCAGCAGCTCCACCGTCTGTCCCACCTGGATGGTCAGCTCGCTGCTGTGGCCCGCGCTGAAGTCCTGGAGGACCACGGTCAACTCACATCCACCAGAGAGCTTGGGGGGGTGTGGAGCGAAATGTGAGGGGTGGAAGGAGGGGGCGGTGGGTGGGAGGGGAGGGAGGAGGGATGCAGGCAGAGGAGGAGGAGGAGGAGGAGGAGGAGAGGAAGGAAAGGGGAGCGATGGGAGCCGGATCGGAAAGGAGGCAGGAGATGGCACAGGGAGTTGGGAGCAGGAAAGAAAACAAGAGAATAAAGTAATTGGCACGTGCCCCAGGTGCCACCGCAGGCTGGAGCCCGCCAGGCCCAGCTTGACCCCAATGCCCCCTGCCCGCCTGGAGTTACTCTCCTTCTCCGGGGCCAAGCTTCCCGCTGACGATGCCCTGCACTCCCTTCCCCAGTTGTCTCCTTGCTTCTTCCCAGGGTGCTCCCTGTGCCCCCCCACCCCAGGGCCCACCCTCCGACTTACTGGGCACCACTTCTGACTCACTCCCTCTTCCCGCTGCTACCTGGAGTCTGGAGATCATGCAAAAGCTGACCTCCTGCGTGTCCCAAGCTTTGTAGCCTTGACCCTCCCCCTACCCCTAGTTGGAGCCCTTGCAGGGAAACAGAGGCTCCAGTGACACAAAAAAGACGGAGCCAGCAAGTCGAAGGAGAAGGAGAATCGGAGGATCTGGTTTACCTTCAGCCCAGGCACTGGGGCCCAGGGAACAGGATGGGAAGGAGGAAGGCGGGTCACGTCCTTAGGAACCCTACCTCAGGGCCCCATCCCGCCCTCCCCTGGGCCTGGCTCTTCCCCACGGCACTGGCTCTGGAGCAGAACCAATAAAAGTGGGGAGAGAGGCCCCGGGGGTAAGAACAGCCTCCCTTTGACCTGAACACCCAGACTTTCACTTTCCACCATGAGAAACCACTGGCTCTTAGTTTCTCTCGCAGAGCGAAGCACAAAGCCTCTCTCTTGAAAGAGCAGCTGCACTTAGGGGCAGAACAAGGGAAGAGAAGGGGCGAGATGGGGACCCAGGGGCCCAGCTGGGCAGCCTGTTCTCCCCAAGGTTCTGCGACAGTGGCTCAGTGAGAAAGTCCTCCCTGCCGCCTCAGGGAGGTGGCCTGTCTGTGCGTCCCCGAGGGCACCCCCCTCCCCCCACCCTGCCCCAGGCCTGCGCGGCCTGCACCAGCGGCCCTGCTGACGCACCAGCCCCTACAGCCGAGCCAGGGCGCACGCATCCCGCATCCTGCATCCCGCATCCCGCATCCCGGGAGGCTTCTGTGAGCATCCCGGTGGGGAGAGAAGCAACAGGCCCGCCAGGACCAGCAGCTCAGCGTTCAGGACCGTGAGAACTTCCTACTAAAGGAATTTGAATGTCACAGTGGGCTCCAGAAGGTCACGTGCCGCATCAGACCGACAGTTCTAGCATGTGTCGCCCCCCAGCCCTGAGCGGGGAGGCCGCTCGAGGCCCACGTCTGCGGATGGGCACCGTCCTGCCATTGAGATCGCATCAGGAAGCGACACTGGCCGGACGGAAGGCAGGAGAGGGAAGGAGACAGAAGAAGCAAACACGCTTCTTGGCTCATTTTTCCATTTCCCTTCCCTGGTGCCACTAAATGCACGGACTCCACCCGCGTCCCCCTCCCGGGCTCCCTTCCCTAAAGCACCATCCTGAGAAGGGCGGTGTGGGAGGCCGGAGACGCAAAGTGCTCTCACATGAACCCTCCACTTGATCCTCACAACCACCAGGTGGTGTTACCATCTCTGCCTCACCCATCAAGACCTTTAAATTCGGAAATGCCATGATCATTGGTTGGAACAAAGAGCGGGCATAAAAAATAACCTACGGAGTTTATTTGCACAAGCAGCTGCCTTTGCTGGTTTCTCGCTTGCCGGACCCACCCCCCCGCCCCCAACACAGGTCATGATTCAGGAGGCCTACGGACACATAGTTTTTAGCAAGACTCCCCCAACTCATGATTCTGCACGAGGGGGCCCTGAGATACAGCCTGAGAAACACTGGCTACATGATTTCCCATGGTCACCCAGCTGCACTGAGCCCAGCCCTTGACCACAAATCCCATGTCTTTACACCACATACCAGAGCAAATTATGCACAAGTTCTAGGTATGTTTGTGGTTGGAGGGGGTGGGAGGCAGGTGGAGAGAAGACCACTGGCCTGAGTTACTGGTCCTCTCAGGGCTGGCTTGGCCTACTTCAAGTTGCTTTCACTTTTTGGCCGGTCTCTGCTACACAGGAGCACCCACACCACGGAACACAAGGTCCGCTGAGTTAATGTCACTGATGTTCTATTTCATTTTTTTCCTCAGTGGCTGGTGGCATCCCTAAACTGATTATACTTTCCATACTGGAACTTTGTAGAATTTGCAAATTCCATTTGTAGAATGTTAGACTAGATGACCACAAAATTTCCTGCCAACCCTGAGAATTTATTTCTATCACCAGGCTCCTAGGCTCCTAGGAGTCATTCGTGCGTGCCAACCTCAGGATTCTTTCCCAACGTCAAGTGTGCGCAAGGCCCGAGATGCAACCTGCAGCCCTTCCAGGGATAGAAACGGCCCTTTTGCAGACTGTTTCAGCAAAGCAGAGGGAGCCTGAGGCTCTGGTTGCAAACAGCCCAGCATGTCACCAGATACAAGACCCACTGCCTCCTTGGACAAGTGACAGCCAGACCCACCCACAGGCAGCTGGGAGCTGCAGTAGGGAGTGTGCGAGGGCAAAGAGCCAGGCTACATGCTTCTATAATTCAAAGATCAAGAGAAACCTGGAAAACACCAGCAGATGATGGTTTTTGCTTCCGGTGGGCTGCCCAGGCCAGACAGAGGAGAAAGTGGAGGAGAGATGATCAACAGGTACTTTCTCTGGCGCTCACAGACCCAGACGGGAACCATTATGGTTCAAATTATAGGATGAACGTCCTGGTTTGCTTCACCTCCGTGGCGTGGTCAAAGAGATGTACCACACTCGGTCCCTGCTGCGTGCGTGGCAGGAAGGGAGTTCCAAACCTGGCCGCCAGGGCTCAGGAACGTTTCTGGTGGAACGAGCCAGTGGTCACGCAGAGCTGCCCCTGAAACCATCCCTCCTCACCCTCCCCCCAGAGCAACGGGGAAGCTTCGGGCTGCCCAGAGGACTCCGAGGGTCACACCGAGAAACGCTGCTTCAGAGAAGCCAGGACTGGAGTCAGTACTGGAATGTTCCCTTGCCACGTAGAGGAGGGGTCAAGGGCAGAGAGGCCAAAAGACCTTTGAGGAATCTTGGAACCCTTAAAACATTTGTACTTGAAATCTTCAAAATAATTCATTTTTGGGACACCTGGGTGGCTCAGAAGTTGAGCGTCTGCCTTCGGCTCAGGTTGTGACCCCGGGTCCTGGAATCGAGTCCCACATCCGGCTCTGCATGGAGCCTGCTTCTTCCACTGCCTGTGTCTCTGCCTCTCTCTCTGTGTCTCTCAATAAATAAATAATATTTTAAAAAATAATTCATTCATGCCTCACGTTTTAAGCCTTCTCTTGGACTGTGATGAGTCACACCACCTACTGACATTAATTATATAGAGTGTGCCCCTCATTAACTAATAAAAACCAAATCCCCTCACAAATACTAAATGAGGAGTTTCTTAGAAAAGTACATGTGCAGCTTTCTTTCTGCCCAGTTCTGTTGTGTCTGCTCCGCTGTCTCCCGGGGTCCCAGGATCATTACTTTCTCTTCTCCCACCCAGAAAGGACCAGTGACCATGTCTCCACTCTCACCGCTGTCCCTCACCTCACTCTCTCCACTGTCCCCTTGGCAGAGCAGGGGCACATTCACAAAGTCCCCACTTCTCCCCCTGAGCTAAATCTCTGTCCCAGAAATTTAAACAGGTCTTCAGAGAACGGGGTGCCAACAACAGCTGTTTTCACCTCGTTCTCTCCCCCCCTCCCCGGCAGCCTTTAAGAACTGTTTCAATGTCCTCTGAAAATCTTTCAAACATTGTCTCGGTGAACCCTGTTCCTATTGGCGGGGCACCCTCTGGCTGAAACCAGGGGGGTACGGAGGGAGGGCGCTGACCTCTCACCACCGCAGAGGTCCCAGGTGATTGGACGGGTGTCAGGAAGGGCCCTCACACCCTGCTCAAAGCTCCAAGGCTGCCTCAGATTTGTACTGTTGATTTTCAAACTATTGGCAATGGATGCTCAACCTCCAATCTACTAGTTCGATCCCATTCTAGATTCAAAGACCAAACTCACTCCCAGGAGGGAAATGCTGGGAGCCTTGAGCCGGTGCGCAGACTCTCAGCGTGAAGTCAGGTGTTTCTGAGTCTTCTCTGGCCGTGCACCTCAGTTTCTATGATCGTCTCTCACCTAATTGCCTTCACTGTGACCCCCACCCCCACAGTCTCTGACCCGGCCCCTTCCTGGGCCCTTCTCAGGCATTTTCTTTGCCTTGCTCCCTAGGGCCTTGGGGGCAAAGGGGCTGCTAAACCTTTCCGATGCTAATCGCTTAGATTTCTGCCCAGCCCACCCAGCTCCACCTTGCTGCTGAGTCATCACCTGGTTCTCCTCCCCTGACTTTGCCAGCCTCTTCCTTTCTGGGTCCCTGACTACTTCCTACTTCTGGTGGAACCTGTTCCCCTGATGCCCAGTCCCTGGGTGGACTTTGTCCTCCCCACTCTGAGGTGCTCTGGGTCGGCCTCTTTCCAGCAGCTACCATTACACACACACACAGGAGACTTCATAACCACCCTTGTTCCTACTCATATTCACCAGAAATGATTGCTTTCATTTAGGTCCATTCTTGCTTGATTACTACGTGGAGACTGATTGAACCTCCTTCGTGTATAAACAGCGTGAGCGAGATTAACCCTAAGAACTTCCTCATGTTATGGAAAAAGATCTGATTATTCCCTGCGGGAGTTTCCAGCGATATTCCCAGGGGTAGAACACGACGTGCCCAGCTTTCTACTGTTGTTGTTCTAGGCCCTCGGCTTCTGCCTGCCTGTGTCTCCACCAGATTCTCCTGAAGGCTATGGACTCTGGAGCCCCTCACCGGCTGTGTGACCAGGAGCAAGTCAC